TAGTAATTACTATCCATTCATTCCTTCAAACAAAGGTATCTCTTACTGTCATATTTTTTCTAACAAAGAAATGTATATTTTTGCTTGAACGTAGGCTCATTTAATCAGTTTGGTATAACAGGTATGCTGAAAGGATCAACAAGTGTTTTCTTTGCTTATATTGGATTCGAATCAGTAGCAACTGCGGCTCAAGAAGCAGATAAGCCATCACGAACACTGCCTATTTCTCTCATTGGTTCTCTTGTTATTTCAATGCTAATTTATTTGGGTGTTAGTACTGTTATGGTTGGACTTATTCCATACTATTTAATAGATGAAGATAATCCACTTACTGATGCAATGTAAGTTATTGGTAATCTAATAAAGAAGATATATTATATGTGCTGTAATTTATGTAGAAAAGCTACACCTTATGGTCTTTGGTTATTGATTATTATGGATCTTGGTGCTATTGCAGGTGTCACAACTGTAGCATTAACAATTTTACTTTCACAAACTCGTATATTTTATGCCATGGCCCATGATGGTCTATTGCCACCAATATTTGCTAGAATACATTCTCGTACTAAGACACCATGGATTTCGATACTCATTAGTGGTACAAATCTCAGTCTATTTACTATAAATGATAGTTGATCTCTATTTGTAGGTGCTGTGTGTGCTGTAACGGCTGGTATATGTCCAGTGGATATTCTTGGTGAAACAACATCGGTCGCTGCTCTAATCACATACTTTTTCGTACATGTCAGTGTTATTGTAGTAAGTTAGATATTTTTGTAAATAAATTGATGCTCTAAAATTCTATGTTGTAGATGCGTTATACACATTCAGATATGCCAAGAACATTTCAAGTACCATTGGGCAAGTGGCCAATACCAACATTGGGAGCTCTCCTGTGTCTTCTGCTTTTGACGCATACATCAACGCCCGTTGGTATTCGAGTTGCTATCTTCATGGGAATTGGTCACATTATTTATTTTTCATATGGCTTTTGGCATTCTAAGAGACGACTACGAATAAGACAAGAATCGATGACTAATCTCACCGCAGATCTTCAAACAGTAGAAAATACATATATGAATCATGCATACACTAATTCTGAAACAAACTCAATCGACGAAACCACAGCATAACAAATATTTTTAAATGTATTCAACTTCTGCAGAAATATTTAAACAGCTTTCAAAAAATAACAAGTAACACTGTTCTACTTTAAACATATGACAATTTTATATTTACTTCTCAGAAATCTGGTCATAATGAGAACTTTAAAATATGTCATATGACAAGTTCTTGAAATAAAGTAAAAATTATGATTGAAAATATTTACATTTACACATTTTGTTTTCTACGATATAATGACCATTTTTCTGGATGGATTTTAAAGAGAACATGTCTTTATAATTGAAATATAATTAATAAATTATGTAGATCTATTTTTGTAAATCATTTCGTTATCTATATCTCTACGGATTGACTTCTGAAATGGATTGAAAAGTTTTTAGCCTGAAAATTGCTTCTCCCTATATATCCTAGCACTAATGATACAAACCAATCATCTGACAAACACAAGTAAAATATAGAAAGATGGAAGTTATATATTTTTTATAATCTAAAAATATCTTTTTTTCAGACAACAAAAACCAGTAGTAAGAGTTGATTTGATTAAACCATATCTTTCGGCTTTACATATTTATTAAATTCTTCTTCTGTTAAATATCCAAGAGTCAATGCTGATTCGAGTAATGTTGTTCCTTCTTTATGTGCTTTCTTTGCAATCGCTGCTGCTTTATCATAACCAATATATGGATTAAGTGCTGTCACTAAACAGAATATTATTTATTTTCATATAAATAATTCTTTTATATTATTTACCTAACATAAGTGATTCACGCATATAACGTGCTAATACATTCGTATTTGGTAGAATTCCTGAGATACAATGTTCAGTAAACGAATTACAAACATCAGCAAGAATTCTGATTGAATGAAGAACATTTCGAATGATCAATGGTTTAAAAACATTCAATTCAAAATTGCCCATTGAACCACCAATAGTAACAGCAACATGATTACCCATAACTTGTGCAGCTACCATTGTCATAGCTTCACATTGTGTTGGATTTACTTTACCAGGCATAATTGAACTACCTGGTTCATTTTCCGGCAATACCAATTCACCTTAGAAAATAAAATATAAATATATAGTCTATCAAAAATATACACTTACCAATCCCACAACGTGGTCCCGAACCCAAAAGACGGATATCATTAGCAATCTTCACTAATAATAGAAAACAATAATATTTTTGATGAAAAATTCTTAATTTTCTACTTACTTAAACTAACAGCTAATGTGTTAAGTGCTCCGCTCAATTCAACCATTGTATCATGTGTAGCTAATGCTTCGAACTTATTTGGTGCATCAATAAAAGGTAATTGAGTAAGTTCATTTAAAGTTTTAGCAACAAATTTACCAAAACCTTTTGGTGTATTTATTCCAGTTCCAACAGCTGTTCCACCAATAGCTAATTCACATAAACGTGTTTGAGAAGTTTTTAATCGTTCAATTCCCATTGCAATCTGATGTGTATAACCCGAAAATTCTTGTCCAAGTGTCATAGGTACAGCATCTTGTAAATGTGTTCGACCTATTTTATAAATCGATGCGAATTCGTCTGATTTCTTTTTTAATTCAGTATGAAGATAAGTCAATGCAGGATATAATCGTCGTTGTAATTCTAATATAGCAGCTACATGCATAGCTAGAATAATATCAGTTTACAAAAACAAATTCGTTTATTAAACAGATATTTCTACCTGTTGGAAATGTATCATTTGAACTTTGACTTTTATTCACATGATCATTTGGATGAACAGGTGTTTTACTTCCCATAGTACCACCAAGAATTTGTATTGCGCGATTAGAAATAACTTCGTTTACATTCATATTAGTTTGTGTACCTGATCCTGTTTGCCATATACTTAATGGAAAATGATCATTTAATTTTCCAGCAATAACTTCATCACATGCTTGTGATATAGCATTTGAGATTTGATCATCTAGTCCAAATTGTTTGTTTACGATTGCACATGATTTTTTTAATAAACCAAATGCTTCTATTAATGGAAATGGCATTCGATCTAAGAAAAATTATTTCAAATATAATTTAGGAAAAAACAACATATGTTTTGTTTTTACCTGTAGGTATTCCAATATTAAAATAAATCATTGAACGAGCAGTCTGAGCACCATAATAACATTCAGCTGGTACTTTAATCGGACCAAATGTATCTGTTTCTGTACGTGTTTCTCCAATTAATTCAGGACTATGATGCATTTCTATGATTTTACTATAATCAATAAAATATTTTCTTTTTTCTAAATATATATGAGTCATTGATATATTTACCTGACTATTTGTTGGTTAGAATGAAAGGTGATGGCGTGAAGAGCAATGAAATCTAACCTTGATTTTATCTTGAAAAAGTATTAGAAAAAAGAATCAAATCGATTGGTTATTTATATCATTTGAAAAGAGATAAATAAATGCACACGGATTGACATTTAAGAATGTAACATACAAAACAGTACGAGAAAAAATTGAAAAAATAAGTTAGTTCTCCAATAATGTCGTATACTTATTTAGTACGTTTCAAGACTTAAAACACCTAACGTAACTGTAAGAATTTTTCTTTGAAAGATCTCGTTTTCTATTAATCAATAGCAATAAAGAAAAAGCTCTAATCGCATAGACGACATCAATTTAGAATATAATCGAATAATTCATCTGCTACTAAAACTTCAATTAGTAGTTATTCTTTCGGTATTCTAAGCTCATCCTTGGTTTGAATTGAATAAGCTATATTCAATCTTACATAGAATCAAATAGTATCTTTTTATTTATTATCAATGCTTGAAAAGAAAAGCTTCATTGAAGCATTTGTTACAAACAACTTCTAAAAATGAAATCTATTTTCTAAATAAAATTTAATGTTCACATAATGAAAAAGGTCTTTCAAATAGTAATTCGTTATTTTGTGAAATAAAATATTTTCTTTCATTCATTAATTTCTCACGATGTTGTTTTGCTTGATCCATCGTCATCGGAAAATCAACATAACTCATGATTTTGTCAACGACTAAGGAGGGTAATTCATTAAATACAGGTATTGAACGTATAATATCACAATACCAATGAGATTGTTGTGGTGGAATATGTGCAGTGGATAAAATTCGAATCGTTGGAGCAACTAAAAAAAAGACTAAGATTTTTCGTTGACCCGATTGAGTTGGATCTTGAAGTTGAAACGGTGCAACACGATGTTGATAAAGGTTTGGAAAAACTAGACAACGATTTTCTTGAGTAATTACTTCACCTAATAATTGATTTAAAGGTTGTTCATTCTGTAAACCATAAACATTATTAACACCGTAATGATCATCTTGCTCATAATCCGGTTCACATACAGCAGTACGAAATTGTAAATTCGATTGTGTTATATTCGAATTAAAATAATAATAGATTCCTGTAGCAATAATATGCTCATTTTCCATTCCCTCAATATGCCAAACACCACCAGGATATGTTGGATTTGAAGGTGTCAATATTATATTTGCTAATTTAACAATAATTTGTAATTTTCTTCCACGTAAATCAATATTTGAATTTGTTAATGATGGCAAATGAAATTCTCCAACATCAGGTTGTATAATTGTTCGATGGCGATGATTATCATCATCATTATCATCATCATGGTCTTCATTTGATGAAGACGATGAAGATTCATTCTCATACCATTTATAAGGATCTACAATAATTCGATTTGGTTTATTTTGATTATCAATTAAATCCGTTAGAACTTTGCTAAATAATGGTATAAAATATTGACAAATATTTTCAATGACTTGATATAGTTGTTTATGTTGAATAGGATGTAAATTATTGATATATGATTCAATTTTAACTTGACCATCTTTTGAAACATTGAATTCAGTTGGAATCCATTGATATGTATTTGACTGAGAATAACTCTTTTGTAATTTTTGTCGTTTATTCTGTGAATTTGATAATGAAGTATTTGCATTGATATCAATTGTTTCTCCAAGACCAATATATTTAAGAGCATCATCAAGATTAATAAGATGATTTCTCTCATTAATAACTCTTGTTGTTTGATTAACAAAACAAAATAACGATGGATGAACTAAATCTAATACTTGTTTATTAGTTCCTGGATGCCAATCTTGTTCATTTTCTGGTATATTCTCTAAAGATTGTACACAAGAAACTAATGATTGTTTAATATCTTGAGGAATTAATTCATCACTTTGCCAAACACCATCAACAACAGACATTTCCATCGATTGATCTCGTATTGAATTATAATATTCTAGTTCAGCAAGAACATAATCAATTTGTTTTTCAGAAAGTGATGATTGTTCTAAAGCTTCTTGTTTCCATTTATTTCTTATTATTTGATCTTGCATTTTTTCAAACCATTTAGATTTATCTCGAATAATTCCACTCAAATTCATCATTCGTAATTCAATTAAGGATTTTGGTATCTTTCCGTCACCATAATCTCCAGAATAGAAAGGATGTAGAAATAATGGTAAATCTGCATTTTGATTAGTGAAATCGATTTTTAAGATTTCTTCAGTTGGTTTATTCGATGAAGACATATTCTGAAAAGATGAAAAATAATATAATTTTTCTACATCATTCTTTCTATGTGTTTTCGACTTTTGGTTAACAATAAATTTTTGAACGAAAAAGACAAAAGATCAATCTATTATACACTAATATAAATTCTTTATTGTCTCAAAAAACCATATATTCATTCAAACATTCAACA